GCAGCAAAAAAGTTTGCCCAAAAACTTGTTGTTGTTGGGTCGTCCATGTTTTGTGTGCGTGTGTGTGTGTGCGTTTCGGTTAGTTTGGCGTACAGTTTTGTGAATTTGAATTAAATGTACATAGTTTTAGATTGCGTAATTCATTAGTACAGTCAGAGCATTGCTAGACCTAACCAACACCCAACAAATAGCGCCACACTGGGGCGCTACCCCCCCACCTCCAACCCTCATACAGCGACTACCGACCATCCACAGCCTCCCGTCGACGCACACACGGGCAATGATGAACGATGTGGTCGTATGTGGTTAGCATAGGGTTGGGGTAATTTAGATGGGGAAAGGGTGCTAAGGATTTGTTACAGGCGGTGCGTACGCTCGCGTGTGTGTGTGTGTGTGCGTGGGGAGAGAGGCGGGGGCACACAAGTTTTGTTGGCCGGGACGTTTGCGGGCGTGACAAAAGCAAATAAGCATAGTTCTACTGAGGTTGCCATCATAGCTGATCCCTTGCGCATGGTGGTGAGAAATCGAATGCCAAGCTGCTCTTAGGTGAGCTACAGGCGTCCCAGATGGATCTAGTCCAGCTGGGCGCACTTCACTCAAAACCCAGCGAATGAGCAACGAAAGCAGCAATACCAAAAGATGAATTGCTGTATGGCTGCTAAAGGCAGCTAGCGTTAAAAGGAGTAAAGCTTTGGGGGCCTATCCCACCTTCTTCTGACCGACCTTCTGTCGACTGTCCTGTCCGTCGAACACTTGCGCCGCACTATTTATGCTACAATTTATTACTTTATGGGCAGAGAGAGAGAGAGAGAGAGAGAGAACTTCTGGTACAACTTGCTCATCTGTTCGCTCGTCTTTCCTGAGCGGGTGGGCAGACGCTTTGTTTACGGGCCAGCGATTGTATTTAACTTTAAGAGGAGCGGCCTGGGACGAAGGAGGACAACACTGAGAGTAATGCTGGAATGGGGTGTGAATGAAATGCGATGGTAATGAATGTATGAATTTAGAACGCAACTGAAAACCGGCGAGACATTTGGGCGAGATAGTTTTTGCCCACTATCAGCCAGCGATGCCGATGCCAAGCATTGGTAACAGGGCCAGGGCTGGGGCAGGAAATGAGTAGAGGAAGTTTTAGTTTCATATTCATTTGGAGGGTTTGCCGGGGTCGGCATCGCACGGTTTGGGGTTTCGGTTTGGTTTGAGCCAGCCAGCAGAGTCATTGCGATAGCGATGCTGCCACTGCGGTTGGCACCCGGCACGGGAGAGGGTAAAATGTTGTACAGCTGTCTCTCTTTGGCATTTGTGAAGCTGCCCGAAAGTGTGTGTGCATGTGCGTGTGTGTGTGTGTATTCGTTAGAAAGTTTGAATTGTATTGAAATTGTATTTTGTTAAAATTCATGTTTGTTATTGCTGCTGTTCGTGTTGTTGTTGTAGTTTAGACGTCGTTGGCCAACCATTTTGTCGGCCTGTCGCTTTGTGTGTGTACGTCTGACTCTGTGTGTCTGTGCGCCTGACTGTATGAGTCTGTGTGTTTTTGTATGTGTGTGTGTAAGTGGGCGACCGAGCGTATGAGTAATTTTATTTAACTGCTCGGCTGTGTATGTGTATGTGTTTATGCCTGCAGTTGTGTGTGTGTGTGTGCGTATAATTTTCTGGTAGCGTAACTAAAAACTCTTTTCGACATATTTTCGTACCCTGAAGAGCCATCGCTTAGGTGTGTATGTGTGTATAAACACTGCTGCTTAAATTGTGTGTGCGTATCTCTGTGCCTGGGAGTGTCAAGCGTCCAGCTAAATAAATCGCACAGCCAAATAAATAAGGAAACAATAAATCAATAAGTAGACTGTGCGACTTATTTAAAAGAGCGATTAATAATCTACAGCAGGAGCTTATACAACTCTGTGACCATCTCAGCTAAAGGGATCATACAGAGACAAATATTTAACAATTCAACTAGCTAAATTCAAAGTAGACCTCTCTAAGAAACAGAAAAATATTTGTAAAAAATATGGCACACTGTTTCGCTTCCATTGCCGGTCAAACGGGTTCGGGTTCAGAGAGTTCATGAATCGTTGCCGCAAATATATCATCGACACGTTAGATTCACATATACAAGCACACACAAGCTCGCACACACAAATGTATGTATTTGAATTGAGGTCCACAGGATTCGATCGCACAAATTGCTCATTGCTGAGGAAATATTTGCAATAAATTTAGTTTATGGCTTCGGCTGTTGGCACTCGCCTGACTGACACCCACACATACTGAATCTCACACTCGCACCACCCAACTCCACACAGTACGATTTCTGTTTAGGCGCGCTGTCAATGCCTGAATTATATGCGAGTGTGCGTCGATACTTAGAAATATTAAAATGCAGCACTCATCCTGTTTGATACCCTCTCACCCTAGGTTGCCCTCAGATACACCGCCCACCGCTGTGGTCAGTACGCACATATGAAATATATATATTCGCAGTGTTCTGTCCGATGAGGGAGGTGGACCGTTCGGTTTATTGATGTAATATCCTTCAATTATTATGGATATTTGGCGAATTCCTGCGTATCCGCATGTGCTGTGCTAATGGGAATGGGTTGAGGGTGCAGCGGTGGCAAGCTTTCACGGTGAAGAGCCCGAAGCGTATGACGCGGCTTAATTAACTGACCCTAAACCGAAACCCCCGCAAAATGCGCTGTCAACAAAGGCTAAGGAGTGGGGAGGGAGTGGGGAAGATCTGAAGGAAATGAAATGCAAACAAACCATGTGTGCATGTGTGGGCTTGTGTGTGCGTGTGTGTGTGTGCGTAAAAGGATAAACCAAACGCAAAAGGCAGCAACGAGCTCCCGAGACCTTCTCAAGTCGCTCGTCCAGAAACGGAAGGTTTCGAGCTAGAGCTAGGAGGAGCAGGAGGCAGAGGGAGGACAGCAACTACTTTCGCATGTGCGGCAATAATTCATCCATTAAAAGGGATATCAATGTAAGGCACTAAGAGAAGGGGAGGGCGGGTGGTACACAGAAAATGCTGGAGATGAAGACGAAGTAGCAACGGGGTCAAATGGAAAAGGCCGAGCGAAGCAGCCGTCGCTTGTTCTACCGTACAACTTCCGTTTGAAAACCGCACGCACACACACACACACGCAAGAGCACATGCTCACAAACTGGTAATACAATCGCCGGAATTTGAAGGTTGAACGTTTTGGGCGGCTGTACGGTTGCTCATCGCTTGCTTACGGCTATCAATGGGTTCGAAAGCGAGGCAAGTAGCACTCACAGCGACACATGTATCCATAGATACATATATATTCACACACTCATGCACATACACACACACACACGCAGACACAGCATCAGCTTTGTGTGATAAGCAAAAATACCGAAAGGTTGCATGCAAGAGCTCGTTTCAAGGCTCGCAGCTCGGCTCTGTCACCGGCACGTGGCCAAAGAAGCTGGCAAAGATGGAGGAGGGCATCAAATGGACTCAGTCGCACACACTTACACTTGGACATGCGGCATCCATATGGATTTATGTAAATTCTATGCCCCAAAAATGACCTTTTTCCATGCGGCTGGCGCTGCCTAGTTCTCTTCCCAGAGTACGGCGTATGTGGAATGGTTTGTGTCTTTGACTTTTGTAATATTTTGTAGAAATAAATTCGCATTTGAAACGGATTCGGATTCGTAAGCGAAATCCTTAAGCATAACACCGACGACACCAACATGTATATATCTATTTATATGTGTTGTGTATGCACGTGTGTGTGCCTGTGTGTGTGTGTGTTTGTGTGAAAGACCACTTGAATTTAAAATACGACGGCTGAAAGGGCTGTATAGCCCACACAGTCAACCCAAAACCCTGGGACGAGTCCACCCCGAACCGAAACCGAATAGTTTTGAAAAGTTTTGCATTTGCCTGGGCTTTGTGTCTATATACCTAAAAGAGTCTGCGGTGTGTGTGTGTGTGTGTGCATGTTAAGCTCAAGTATCACAACAAAAACACAAAACAAGCAGCAACAACAAATTTTGTATAAATTTAATGTATTTTCTATAACAAACGCACAGCCTCGGCCTCAGAGCCTCTGTCCATACCCCACATGTATATAACTTGGACTTGGACTTCACATATTAAAATTATAATAATAATCATGTTTTTCCTTTTCCATTTCCATTTTTTTTTTACATATATTTCGGAAACTGTGTGCTAAACTATTTCAAACGAAGTTTAAGTAGAAATTAGAATTTTCAAGTGCTGCAATGGGCTTTCAGTTTTGGATTTGCTCCTTCCTCTCTTACCCCCTTCTAAATCCCTGAATGTGAGCATTCCGCTTTCGGTTAGCTTGTTGTTGCTGCCCCACACAATGACATAATCCCTCATCTACATAAACATTAGAGCGAGAATTTAACTCAAAAGTTTTTAGTTTCGGTTTCGTTTTCGGTCGAGCTTCCACTCGCCCACACCGTAACCCACCCCTTATGTACATTTCTGTGTGTGTGCCCGAAAGTGTCCCTGGCATTTTGTTACTCTATATATATACATATATATATCTATATATATATATCTATATAAGTATCAGATATGTGTATATAGGCACACATTGTGTGCAGGCTGTGCGTTTATGTGTGACGTGCAGCAGATGCGAGTTTTTGAAATTAATTTGATAACAATTTTTTTCTCTATTATTGCTGCTAGCTAGTGGTCAAGTGGGCGTGGCAATATCCATTGGGTAAAACTGTATTAAACTATTTTGCAATAAACCCTGTGCATACTCTTAGGCGCCTTAGAAAATATTGTGCAAACTAAGATTCACATATAGAAATGCTTTATTTAACTTTTGTGAATGGGATATTTGAAAACTTGAGCTTGGTAAAGAGATATAATACTTTAGGATTTGTTACCCAGCTTCTAAATGAAATGATCTTTGTAAAGAGACGCCATTGTAATTCGCAACCAGTTCTAAACCTTTCTACTAAACTGTTATTTAGAGGATCTGATGTTGAATAGCAAAAATTTGCTAGGTATAGTAGCAAAATACGTAAAAATAATAAATGCAGATATAGATGGCCAAGCATGCGAGCGACGCACGCACTGAAAACGTATTTCCAATAATTTTACTCATTATCCCTGGAGAAGTTTCTTGCGCCTGCCTGTCTGTGGCTCCTTCAGCATATTCATGTCCTGGCTGGGATGCAGGCGTGTGGGGCAAGTCAAGCTGGCCAAGTGGGTGCTACAAGGCGCGGTGAGTGTGTGTATGTATATGTATCCAAGTGGAGGGGTACGGGCAAATGTGCTAGGGAGGTGGCTTGCAAGCGTGTTGGCGTTAATGGTTCTTGATGAAATGAAATAATGGGTGCGTTTATTCACGTAATGTATTTGTATTTGTTACAGCAGCAACAACAACATATTTACAATAATAACACAGCTCGTAAAGCGAATGAATAACTGAAAGGAATGATTGAATGCCGGATAGAATGAAAGCGGCGCCCAAGCGACGACAACTACATGGCAAACGCCAACGTCGACGTCTAACAAAACGCTTTTCGTTAGTTTTCATTATTTTCCGCATTTAAGCGTATTTATTCCGTTGTTAATCGAATTTATTAAATGCAAACACGCCAACATATAGAAATGACTGCCATCATCCAACCCCAATTCGCACAATCACACACAAACACACACACACGAGCAGTTGGCCAACACGCACACTCACACTGCCGTGAACTGGGCGCGTTTGGTTTGGCTTAAGAAATGTTCTTCGGTTTGCCTGCTGCTAATTTTTTTGTATCCCTTGCTTTGTGTACATTGAATGTCTCTATTGTTGTCTATATATCATCTGAAGTTCCAGTTTTAGATGGAACTTTAACTAAAAATAGTTAGATTTTATTTCTGTTTATTTTAGTCTGGTACTTCGGCATTTCGTCATAAGATCGTTCTCTGGCTACGAAGAAATCTTAACCTTTGCAAGATTTTTAAAACATCAGTTGTAAGCTTAAGTCTAAAACTCTTAACTTCTGCAATTACCCATGGTATTAACTCGTCTAGAATTTTACCAAGTCTCTCAGCCAGATCAGCTCTGTCTGTTGAAATGGAACTGCCAACGCATCTGTGACAGTGCTGAATGAGATTTTTATACGAATGTGGCACAAAATAATGCATTTGCCCGTATGGGAGGAAGCAGCTGGCAAACAAAATTGAAAAAAAACTTTGCGCATTAGCTGGCCAGCGCCAGTCGGTCCGGCCAAGTCCGAGCTCCGCTGCTTTCTCCGTGCCGTTCTGCTCGTGGAACTTTTGCATTTGGCTTGCGCAAGAAATGAGCAAATGGCCTTATATGTCAATGATTTTTCTTCTCCCACGTATGTCGGCGCCAACTGCATTGGCGAAGAGATAACATGTGCCTGAGCAACTTTCTTGACGTCTTGCAGCCAACAACGGACGCCGAAAGATGGCGCTGAGCTGCCAAAGGGCTTGTTGTGTTGCCAAAAAGTCTTTCGTTCGCCTTTCTGAATATTACCGTTTGTCTTGGTGTTTTCCATTTTTTTGGGGGTTTTTTAATTTTTACACACATTCTATCTACACACACACGAGCTACACCTCCCCTTTGCTGTTATTATTTTGGCTGCCATTTATTTGCTGTCAATGTTTCGACTGCCTGCCGCCTGTCCACCTCCAGTCAGCCGGGGGCTGTTCGCTCGATCCCTGCTCGCTTTTTTTCTAGCTTTGCTATCATTTTCATTTTAAAATGTCGCTCAGACCAATGTCGTGGACGGCAACGCCTTCTAGAGGTCAGCGCCTGCTCCTACGCCTTGTTATTCAAGTCCTTTTTACGCTCCCAGGAGCGAAGCCGTCCCTCTATCGCCCCGTTTGCCCTGTCACCTTGGCGTTGGCTTCTACTTCTAGTCGTTTTGGGGCTGGCCACTTTATAAATGTTTCTGCAACGGATTTTGCAAAGTAAACTTTTTCGCCTTTGTAGTTTTTTGCTCAAACACTTGGCCCGCATCTGATTGTGACTGTGTGTGAAGAAGAAGAAGAAGGGCGCAAATATATTAAAATGCAAACCTAACTCATATTACTAAACTGAGCTGGCGTGGGCTGTACTGGACGGGATTGTAGCAAAGGCGAGTGGATACAGGGGGCTGAGCTTTCAAGTCCTTGCCACACATGTACGCAATTTCTAAGACCGTTTCGACCATTGCCGATGTGTTCGAATAAATCGAATGCACAAAAAAGCAATAAAATGAAATAAAATCTAAATATATGTATGTGTGCGAGGAGTGTCGTCCTTTTTTGTCCTTTTGCCTTGGCACTGTCCTAAGTCCAACGAGAAGCTGGAGGGAAGGACAGCTCATGACATAGAAGAAAAACAACAAAACACAACAACAGCAGAGAACAAGACCAAAAAAAAAAAAACTTATCATTTTTATCATTGTACAAAACTTTATCCTTTTCAGCTTGGGCCGTTAATATTTTCGATTCCGACTGCGAAATAGCCAAGTCAAAGCCCAAGTCCAATACCAAGTACAAGCCCAGTTCCACCGTTACCGCCGTCCGGAATTTCAAATGACTTTTCCCTCAGCCCGATCTGGGGGCGTGCAAGTCGAAGCTTATTGAATGTTTATGCTTTATTAAATTTGATTTCTTTGCAACTCGCAGTGAGGCACGGCATCTGCGACGTCCGTCCGACCCACCGACCCGCCGACCGACTGACAGACCTACCGACCCATTCGCAGGCCGACTGCTTTACCAAGCCATCTCCCAGTCGTTCGACCCAGCAACTAACCGAGCAGCCACCAGCCGGTCAACATTTGCTGCAATGATCTATGTGCGCTGAATATTAAATGGCATCGCCGGCTTAGCGGCGGCCTAGGCCAAGTCCGATTGCAGGACTGCTGGAGGTGCTCCAATAGGCTAAGGCACCATTATCATTTTAATGCGCGATAAATGCGACATTTGCGACGCTATACAAAGTGCGTGTAATGTGTTCGGCAACGCAAACAAGAAATGCGATTGGAAAGGGGATGTGGGGGGTTAGCAGCCCTAACGAATTCTTGACTTTTACGTTACGTGGTATCGAAACGGAACGTAACGATTCATATTTGTAACGGGTTTTCCACAAGCATCCGGCTGGGCGTCCCCGTACGCATAATATCGAATGGTAATCATAATCATAATAATAGTAATAGTAATAGTAATAATAATAATTTTTTGTGCGTTATTCGAAACATTTGCACATACGTAAATGAACATTACGGCCGTTTCCCCTTCTATCCCGAATATGTATATAATCGCACTCCAAATGTCCTGGCCAGCAGTTGTCCGGCCAAACTTTGCCCGTTGTCGGCTCTAATGCGACACGTGGCTCGCGCATATTTCTTCACACTCTGGGCCGATTGGCTGGGATTGGAATTGGAATATGGTCCTCTTTATTGCTAGTGCTAGTTCTAGTGGGATGTGGGTTTAATGATTGCCTCGATTTGGGCATCATACGACCAAGCGTGTATGTGGCAAACTAAATGAGTGTTCTTAATTTGTTGTATTATCGATAGGCAAACATATCGTTTGCCAAACAATTTGTGAGTTTCGCTGCATAACTTAAATCATAAACTAAAACAGCTACTTAAGAGTATTTTTTTTAGACAGTATGCAATTGATAAGATTATGATTACAATAAACCGATAATCGATAATCGATACACAGCGCAACTGATAATCGATACACAGCGCAGTTAACTAAACTTATATATACATGTTTATTAATTTTTGGGTTTATCTTTAACGTTTAAATTTTTTGACTATGTTGGCCAATTGTTTGTCGAATTTGAATGCCCTGCCGTTTATCGGTTTATCGATATCTGTCGATAGTTAGTAACGAGCTTCTAGTAAATGCAAATCATACGCAAATCGTTCGCGAACCGAAACAGATCGTTAAATCATACACAAGAGGCAAATACTCCATTATGTTCACAAAATAGCTAACGTGGCCTGTGGCCTGTGTACTTACCAAAATCATTGCCACCCAGGCCGGATGGTCCTGGCAGCAGGCCGGGAATACCCTGCAGGCCCAGGAATGCGTTTGGGAAGGAGTGAGAACGCTGATTGTCCATGCCGTCGAGTGTGCCGTCGTGTTGGCCATCGCCACGATCCGAGGGTTCCGTATCGCTGCTGTTGGAATCTTCGCCGGCGCTCTGGCCGAGATCATGTTTCTGCGTAAATTGTAAAAGGTTAAAAAGTTAGGGTATTATGGAAGTTATTAGCACCGGATCCAGGGTACATTTTTGACTTGTGTTTATGTTGCCCTATTTTAAGTTGACTTACCTGATTAGCCTGCTGTCCGTTGCTGCTCTCTAGAGCCTGGCCAAGCAGCGACTCTCGCAGCTCCAGGCTGCGATCGCGATCCTTAGACGTATCACGGCTGCGATTGCGAGTCAGCGGATGCTGTCCCGCCACGGGAAAGTCACGATCTATTAGCAGGCGCTCTGGACTGATGCCATGTTGCGCACGGAAAAGGTCAGCGCTCTTGATGCGTTTCTGTGGTGGCGGTGTCAGGTGACTCTTCCGGCTGCCCTCCATATCGCTCAGATCCCAATGATTGCTGCTGGCCTAAAGTGTTATAGAGTAAAGCGTAAAGGGTAAAGGGTAGTTAGTTAGCGGGCTAATGCATGTCACAATCAAATCGAGTGCAAGCTAACGGAACTGCACACATTACTTTGCTTGGATTTGGATTGGAGGTTCTTACGGGCGACGCTGCGGATGCCTTTAGCTCCTGAATGGCGGGCGTGCCGCTGCTGTTGCTGCTGCTCTGTGCTGCTCCCTGGCTCTGGCCTTGGCCTTGGTTGATGCTGCTGCTGCTCCCACTGCTCAACGGTAGATTGGATGCTGTGGCGACAGCTGCTGCAGCCACGGCCGCTGTCAGCGAGGCTGCTGCGGCGGCAGCGGCTGCACTGGACACCGGCACTGTGGCTGGCGTTTGCGGAGTGCTAAAGGTCGAGCTCTGGCTGTGATTGTTGTTACTGCCGCTGTTGCTGCTGTTGGCATTGAGGTTGGAGCTACCCAGCGCTGTGGGCAAATAGTTGCTAATTTTGTTGTGATTGCTGCTTTCTGCGTTGTTGTTGTTGTTGTGGCTGAGGGCCGCAGATAGAGCCTTTGCGTAGGGATAGCCACCATTGACATCCGCCAGGCCACGTATCTGCAGCAGATGCGCGGTTTTCAGAAAGTCGGGCAACTGCTCATGACTTACATTTACCTCGCCGTTGTACATGAAGCTGAAGCGAATAGGGGGTAACAGTGGAAGAGCTTTAAATGGGAAACAATTGAAAATGTATTGTAATGCTTACCTTAGCAGGTTCTCAACATCATCGCTTCGTACGTCGCGCAAGATGACAATGGGATGCTCACAAGGATTGGCCTTGAGCAGCTTGCGAAAGTATGGGCTGCAGGCGCTGAGCACCACCTTGTGAGCGGTAAAGGAGCGCTCATCGCAGGCGAGCGTCACATCGACAAAGTCCTCTTCGTCGCGCAGATGCCGGAAAGAGCTGAGTATGGACGTCTGGAAGTCGTTCCATTTAAGCGCATAATGCTGCTGTGAATGGCCCAGCGGCGGCAGTGGCGGCGTTGCTGGCGATAGCGCCGTACC